TATATATTTGTGTGCCCTCCAGCTGTGTCTGTGTGAAGGGACAGGTTAAACCTGCATCAGTTAATCTAACAACCTAAAATAAAGTGGCAGGACTGTTATATGTGGGTGCTTTTTACACACACAAAGAATAACAATAACATGCCTTCAGGGCAGGGACTGTGTCAGTAGATTGATGGAGTTTATTACCAAGGGTGACTCCCGTTCTGCGTTCCCTCCTCTTAAGCTCCACCCTGTCTTGCCCTGGGGGCGAATGGCTTATGAGCCGTGAAATATTCCAGTAATGGAGACACAGCGGATGCCGTTCGTTAATATGGTGTTGTAACCATGGAAACGCACTTGGAGGGATCCAGACAACTGAAGTTATTTACAGAACTGATGCAGCCTGGTTTTCACTCATTGGGGTGTTTATAAATTATAATGACTCTAATCTGAAACTGCGGCCTTGTCCACTTCTGTTTCTCCTCGATTATTACCTCAGTCCATTATCGTTTCTGCTGCGCTCAGTGTTTCTCCATCTGTCTCTCGCCTCTCTGTTCTTTCCTGCCTCCGATCAGCTCTGCTAAGCCAGTCAAAGTCTTTGATCCTGCAAACTCCTGTCTCCAATGTGACACTCAAACAGACCAGGCAGGGTGTCAGGGGGGAGTGGGCTGATAAATCTAGGTCAGCACAGGGGAGAGGAGAGGAGGCCCTGACCCCAGAGCAGGTGCTACAACTCCTAGAGAGGGTTTTCTGCAGAGGGTGGCTGTTCCACATAACCCCTGCTGAGGAGGAGTCGGACTGAGAGAGAGTGAATCACGACTGCACTTTTTATTTTTTTTACTGGGTCATTCCTTCAGTAGGAAGTATTTGTGTGGATGTGTTGGTGTGATGTAGCTGGAACAAACTAGCATGTGTAATGAATTGTGCTGATGCTCAGATCGAAGCGTCTCTTGAGGTTAAGGGTCAGAGATCCCACAAGTAGCACATGGATCCCTGTGCTTGTTTTTTGTTCAGTGTCTCTGCTCTAAAGCTAAACAGAACCATTTCTGTTTCATCCATCTTCTTCTTTCCCGTCTATGCCTGTGTCTGCTCTCAGAGACTGAAGGATGAGATAGCAGAGGTGACCAATGAGATTGACAACCTGGGCCTGACTGAAGAGAGGTAAAGTATCTCTCAACGACCATTTCTGTGCACGTGTGTGGGCGGACATGGTCCACTCAGCCTTTGTTTCACTGGAAGTACATTCATGGTAAAAATTAGCATGACTGTCAGAACAGAGGAGTTTACTACCCTGTGGGATTTAGGTCCACAAATAAAGATTGTTAACATTTAAAGGGATAGTTCACCCAAAAATAATAATTCACTCATTAACTACTCACCACTATGCCGATGGAGGGATGGGGGAAGTGTTTGAGTCCACAAAACAACCATGAATGTCCGCTCCATGTTTAAAAAAAGATGGACAAAGTGTCTCCACTTACTTCCAGTGTCCAGAGATGAGGACAATGTTTCCTGGATAGAAACGCTGCCATCTTAAGCCAATCACGTCATTTGGAGCCAGAATGTTTTTTGGCATCAAACTCAGAAACAACAATTCCCTTAAATAACAGAAACCATCTTTTTAATTTTCATCCACTAACATGAAGTTGGCAGGGTTTATGATCTTTACTGCGGCCACCCACCAGGGGGCGAGTAAAATAGTTTGGCCCCACTTTTAGGAGCTGTCATGTCTTCAATCTATATACAGTTTATTGTCTGCACTCAAATATATTTAGTTTACTATGATGCAAACTGCTCAGTTAGTCGATATATAATGTAAACTAATCAAAATTGCTGTCTGTTATTTCCTGTCCATCAACTAATCAAAGAATAATCATTTCCATGTGATTGTTGATGATATAACCACTGGTAGTGTGTTTGGTAATCAGTTCATTCAGGTTCTTTTTTTAAACTATTCATTTGTTTTTTAGGAAAAGTATGCAGAGGAACAAACAGATGGCCATCGGCCGAAAGAAGTTCAACATGGACCCAAAGAAGGTGAGAAGGAATCAGCCTTTCCTCCTTCATGTAACAAATGAAGTGAAGAGCTGAAACAATCGATTTATTCAAGTATTGATTAATCTGCTGATTATTAAGACCTCAAAAAATGAGAGAAAATGTCCAAGCTGATTTTATATTTTGTGTTATCTGGTCGAGGTACAACAAAGATCTAATAAAGAAAACACATCCTCACATAGGTGAAGCCACAACCAGTGAAAAAGACAAATTTCCTTACTGCTTGGATCTTTTGAGGATTATTTGTATTTTTTAGTTCTTGACGTTGGGTTGCTTGTTCTGATTTCCTCCTGCAGGGTATTCGTTTTCTGGTGGACAGCTCCCTGCTGAAAAACACCAGCGACGACATTGCTCAGTTCCTCTACAAGGGCGAGGGGCTGAATAAGACAGCCATTGGGGACTACCTGGGGGAGAGGTAAGAGATGTTTTCCCTGTCATAGCTGGAAAAGAGCCCCAGCAGGACATGATAGTGAGGCGGACCGTAAAAAAACAGCTAAATGGAGCTCAGTCATTATTAGTTTTATTTATACTTAAGCTTTTCCTTTTGTGCATGTCATAATTTCTTCCATGAATACTATTCGTTTTTCACCAGAAGTAAAGATAATAGATAGCTTGTTTAAAAAAAAAAGAGAGAATAATCCTGATCATTGCTATCTGTGGACTTTTTCTAGAGCTATAAACATTGCATGTGTGAAATCAAGCCTCATCAGAAAACTATAATACACTGTAAATATGAGCTTATGTTGCATTAGCAGTTTTAAAAGATGATCCATTAATCGCTTTTTATCTGACTCGTCACATCTCATCCATCCATTTCAGTTGCCAACTCAGAGCTAAACAAAGCTGCGTTCATTCGTTGATCCTGTTTTTGTTCTATTTACTCCCTTCTCCCTCCCCCATGTGCATGTGGGTGTCTGGGTTTTTTTGTGTGTGTGTGGGGGGGATTTAATGTTTTCCTGGCGTCGTGCAGAGATGACTTCAACATCGAGGTTCTTCACGCCTTCCTGGACCTGCACGAGTTCACGGATCTGAACCTGGTCCAGGCGCTCAGGCAGTTCCTGTGGAGCTTCAGGCTGCCCGGCGAAGCTCAGAAGATTGACCGCATGATGGAGGCGTTCGCCCAGCGATACTGTCACTGTAACCCCGGGGTGTTTCAGAGCACAGGTACAAGAGTGTGTGTTTGTTCAGAGGGAATCCAGGAACGAGGAGGTGGCAAAAAAATATGTATAAGAACAAAAAATAATGACTAAGATACACAGTGACATGAAGGAAAGTCTTATTTTAGTTAAGTCTCACATATGCATGTTATTTCTTTTTCTTTTATAGATACCTGTTATGTGTTGTCGTTCGCTGTGATCATGCTGAACACCAGTCTACACAACCCTAACGTGAAGGACAAACCGTCCGTTCAGAGATTCACAGCAATGAACAGAGGCATCAATGACGGAGGAGATCTGCCAGAGGAGCTGCTCAGGGTAAGACACGTTTAATTCACATTCAATTTACACATTTTCCTCTTTTAACACATGACAATCTTCAGCACGTTGACACCAGCATCGGCCCTTATCACCAAAAGCTCTTGAATCTTGTCTTTGCAAGTCAACATCTCGTGGGCGTCCTCTACATGTGTGGTTCCTCTTTTTCATCCTGAGATCTTGGATCCTCGTTGTGAATTTTCCAGGAAAAGTCTAGGCATTAACGTTCTCAGGAAAATCTCCACACTTTAGTACATGTCTGAAAGCAGCTGTAATGTCAGGTGTGTTTGTGTGAAAATCCCCATTTCATTATAAAATACCTGCAAAGAGGCTCTTGAGATGCAAAGAGAATCTTTATTCTGAATCCTGCAAACATCATGTCATGTATATTGATGCTCATAAACCCAGTAAAGCTTTTCCTCATCCCATCATCTTTATTGTTCCCTCTCTGTAGAATCTGTACGACAGCATCAAGAACGAACCCTTTAAGATCCCAGAGGATGATGGGAACGACCTCACACACACTTTCTTCAACCCCGACAGAGAAGGATGGCTCCTGAAACTCGGTATGTGCATCAGTTCCTTTCATTCAAACTTTAACTTGTTCAGTTGGACTGCCCTCTAGAGGACATGAAGAGGATAAATCATGTAGAAACACTGAATAAAGTTGACTGAAATTTTCCCAGTTTTTTGTAAAACTCTTATGTTGACGTTGTTTTTGTTTATGTTTCATGGGTTTTGACTCCAGGAGGTACGTACCCTCATACTCCCCAGCTTTAACGCACTGACCTGCTTCTGAGCTGCCCCCTCCCCACTGTTTTAATCCGCCACTGTCTGTACGCATTCACCTTCACATCACATTTTAAGTCATATTAAAGACAGATCATTCATTTTTGCACACGGTTTCCCACCATGCTTGATGTGAAAAAGCCAATAGAGTTGTTTCACATCTGCTTCTAACTGCTGGACCCCTTATCTGACCACTGACCCGTGTTTTTAACCTCAGCTTTTACGATCAGTAGGCTTCGTTTCAGCTGCTGATTTGTGTCGTCAGTGTGCTTCAGTGTTGTTGTCTGAAGTTCAGCTTTCTGCTTTGGCTCTAACTACAGTTGTCTACCCCCCCGGTGAAGCAGCAGCTCATTTCTAATTTCTCCTCAGGTGGACGAGTTAAGACCTGGAAGAGACGCTGGTTTATTCTCACAGATAACTGCCTCTACTACTTTGAATACACCACAGTGAGTAATTCCAGTTTTGAATACATGACAGAAAGAAATATGTTTGAGAAAACGAAGACTTCAGAAAGTTATACTTGGATCTCTCACACTGTCATTATTTTTTTTTCCTTTGTTTACCAGGATAAAGAACCCAGAGGAATTATTCCACTGGAAAATCTGAGCATCAGAGAAGTTGATGACTCTAAGAAACCAGTAAACACTTTCTTCTCTCTTCTCTTTCTGCAACATTCTGTCATGTAACTGACCATTTTTGCTGTTTCTCTCTCCACAAGAGGTCACCAGTTAAATATTAAAGAAAATACAGCAAGGTGCTGGATGCAAAAACATTTTAAAAAAGTTGCTCACTCTAAGGAAATTGCAAAGTATTGAAACAATAAAATGTGTTCATTATTTCTGGTTAAAGATGATTTATTGTCATTTTACTGCTGAAGAAAATAAAACTGAGATTTTGAAAAACTGTATAAAACTGTTAGAAAGAAAATAAGTAACAGCACATTACATCCTCTTTCGTTTACTCCGGCTCAAAACACAATTAACAGATGTTTGTTGTTGACCTAACCCCGACTCATCCTGTTTGTGCTGCTCTCTCACCAGAACTGCTTCGAGCTCTTCATCCCCAACCACAAAGATCAGGTGATCAAGGCCTGCAAGACAGAGGCGGACGGCCGCGTTGTCGAGGGAAACCACACTTTTTACCGAATCTCTGCCCCGACCACGGAGGAGAAGGACGAGTGGATCAACAGCATCAAGTGAGTCACGTTCAATCTTCCTCTCCTCCCGTAGATGATAAGTGTGATGAACATGACTTCCACAAGGTTTTGCATCTAACCCACGGCTGTGGCTGAGGGGGTAGAGCGGTTTTCCTCCAACCAGAAGGTCAGCATCTCGAATGCTGAAGCATCCTTGGGCAAGATGCTGAATTGTTAAGTCGCTTCTGAAAATGTAATGTAATGTAACCCTCCTTCGTCTTCCACCTGCAGAGCTGCCATCAGCAAAGACCCGTTCTACGAGATGCTGGCTGCTCGGAAGAAGAAGGTGTCGTCTCTGAAGGGGCTGTAGAGCTGCTGAGGATTAAACATCCACACGATGAGCACAGGTTTGACTCCTGAACACGGCACACTGGACGTGGACCTGATATTCCTGCTGCTGCAGTGACACTTGCACCTGGCACAAGGGATTCAGCCTTTAGAGAGACTTCCTTTGACACCCGTCTCTTCGCAGGTTTGACCCAACGTTGAATGTTTCATTTCTCATGCCCAGATGAAATGATTCACTCAGACCTTTTATTAAGGTCCTCAAACATCTCTTTAAAAAGCAAACACACTTCTGCAGTACTGTAACCACGCTCTAAACTCTGGTTAAGACTCCCACTCCTCAGATCTGCTGAAATTATATGTGAAATATGTCTGATTCATCTCAAAGCAACTTCAAACATACTATGTTTGCTGAACTGGGCCGCGGGTATGCAAATATTTTACTGCAGAGAAAAAATGAAGGAGCGAGCGGGAAATGATTTCAGTCAGATTAGAAGTGTAATCAGTGTGTAAACACAGACTGTAATTAAAGATGGACAACACGTCTCCACGTCCTCCCACTATCTAGAAATGAAGCTCAACTATCCCGGATAAGAATGTCACTGTCTTGCACATTTGGAGTCAGAGTCTGCGCAGTAATGATCATTGTCTGGAGCGGGCTCACACCCCACCCAGTAAAACCCCTTTTCCACTGGTCGAAACACCCACTAACATCTGGCTTTTGTCTGCAGTGGGAATGGATTCAATCCACACTCACTCCTGGGTCTAATGCCTGTGGAGTAGACACAGGTTTCAATCGAGTCCAGCTCTGATCGGCAGTGGTGGAACCGAGAAACATGGTTGAACGTACTATTTTAGGGGAGAGAGCGCCTCAGTTTTCGGTGCGTTGGTGACATTGGACATGACGCACCAAGGAAAAGACTGAAAAGAAAACTCTGCTACTGCCAACGGGGAAAAGAGTCAATTAAATTATTTGGCTGCATTAAAAAAACAGTTTATACCCACTGATTTTGGTGTCAAGAGGTATACCACACAGTAGGCGCGATTTATGACCAATATGCAGCCACCAGGAGGTGATCGAGACTAACTGGAGCGGCATGTCATCTATCTTTATGTACAGTCTGAGAGACAGAAGATTACTGTGCTTTATGATGCTGGACAATTACAGTATAAATCAAATACTGTACGTTTACAACAACATTTCTGAAATCATACGTCAGTAAGTTTACTGTTTTGATGAGTGGAGGCTTTGGACAGAATCAGACTGAACTGTAATGAAGACATGAACTTTAGTTTGGTTCTCTGTCCTCTGGACGACAGTGTTTAGTTTGATCTCATATAAATGCTTGTTTTTTTTTCTAAGGCCTGTTTTCTTACTGCTGTTGCTCTTTTGTCAAAGCACTGTTCATACGAATGAAGGCAAAACAAAAATACCTAAATATTTATTCATCCAGATTTCTTGTAATTTATTGTTTTAAGTTTGTCTCATTAAAACCAAACAAACCAACATTTGACTCTGATTTAGTTTTTCATTTTATTTTCTCAATGAAAATATCTCAAACCCTTTTTCGTATCTTTTACCCCTAAAAAAAAACATAAAAATCATCCTTTGTGCCGAATTAAAAACACACATTCAGAGTGATGTAAAAACTCAGCACTTCATCCTTTAATTTACAAAGATAATAACACACAGACACTGTACAGTTAAACTTTGATTACTGCTGTGGGCAGAGCTGTAAACACACTCCGATCTCTTAAAAACTGTGATTAAGGCTCCTTGAGGAATCGTTATTCTTCACCACACCCGTCTGTTCACCTCAATTACATCGGGGACACACTGATTCCAGTCTCTATTGCTTTCTTATACATGCAACATAAACCTGTAGGCATGTGCGCACAGGAGGAGAAGTAGTTTTTTCTTTTTAAATATTTGTAGTCAATCATGCGAAACCAGAAATCCACAGAATGACGAGTTAATAACGGAGTTATAGATATGCAGGATCTGGAACTTCAATGAAAAAATGAGGATTCACCACTTCTCTCTGCTCGTGTGAGTGTGTGTGAGTGCACGTGTGAGTCACTGACGAGGGTAGTGGTCGGGGTGAAGCCGAAGAGGGCGACTCCAGGCACTCGTTCTGGAGCGGACCAGCCTCCGACCTCAGGACAGAGATAATACAAAGTAATCTTTCTCCTGAAAACACAAAGAAAAATGTATTATTAGTTTTGTTTTTAAACAGGCTTATAAAATATAATATATAATAATATCTATATAAGAAATATATTCATCTAATCAGTTTCCCAGAACACAAAGTCAAATCTTTTTTTTGTTTGTTTAATGAAGAAATTCAGTTTTACATTAATATATAATTCAAACTTAAACCTCTGAATTAGAGCCACACATTGGGACTAGTTCATTGTCTGAAACTGCAGTTGAGCCACTAGAGGGCAGTGAGCTCCATCTCAAACACAGGAGCCTGTTGAACCAGGACTGATGTCGGTGGTGGGATGTGAGCTGTGTGCGAACCCTTCGGTCTGGAGACGCTCCAGCCTTTTGTCACAGGCTTCTAACAATAGACGACCTTTTATCCTTTTAACCGGCAAGGCTGTTGTTGAGTTTTTTCCAGGAAAACAAAGACGTAAGCGATAAAATAAACAGATCACACATCGTAGAGCTGCTCGACGAACAAAAAACTCCCACTGGTTGTTTTCCATCAAGGTCGAATAAGTAGAAAAGTTATGTTTTATTTATTTTGTGTTAATTTACTCTTTTGTATTGAACGGTTTATGTTATGTGTTTTTCTTATTTTCAATTAAATTAAATCATTAAAAAAGAGTCAAATCCATCAATGAATACTTTTAGACCAGCCCATCTTTACTTATCATCCATGGTGAAAACTAATAAACAAAGTGTGTGTGATTAAAACAAAAAAAAACAAATGTCATGTTTGCCGAAGGAAGACGACACCCAGAGGAGTACGTCTCATGTTTTATCAGTGACACTTTGAGGCACAGAGGAAACAGATAAGTCAGGCTCTGTCTACACAGAAGATACTTATCAGATCCATTGATTTATTGGTGGTTGTCGTCCTTTCACCGGATTTGTTGAAAATACAGAAAATGCAGAAAATCACCAGCTTTGTCTTTAAATGGCTCTAGAGGTCAAACAAGGTTTCTCCTCCAAACTGTCTTTACCCCAAAGTTCCAACAGGGGGAAAGCTGCTAAAATAAAAACTAAACAACATCCTTGAATCAAATAACCCAATGAAGAAAACAACAGCTATACTTTTAAATTACAAGCTGTTTCTCTCAGTCAGTGCATCAGTAAAGGTTTGTAACTCCAGATTCTTGTCGTATCATTGTTAACTAAATACTTTAAAAAGGTCAACGTGACTTTCAGCAGGGGATCATCTCTGAGTCGCCTCCCAGACCAGCTGCTGCGTGTCAGCGCCATCCTTCCGCTAACAGGAGGATTTCTCCTCAAGATAAAATGGATCAAAATGTGCTTTTGTTCAGTATGAATTTTTTCCTTTGTTCTGTGCATATTTGTGAATCACATCATCATCATCTCAGGCCTGTGACAGTTGATCTATTTACATCTGTTTCCTTCTGGCAACAGATAACACCCTTTTTTTTCTTTTCTGTCCAGGTAGTGATAAGACACCACCCATTTACCGTCATTACCCAGCCCGCGACACTTCCTCTTCTCAGAAACTGGAAAAAAAACAAAACAACTACTGCTGAGTAGCTTTCCCTCAATCTGCAGCGGAGATCTTGACAGTTTCCCGTCTGGCAACAAGTTGAGTTTGTAAAATCAATTTATCTTCCTCTCAGATTCAGCAGTACTTTT